GGTGGCCCAGGCGGGCCCCAACCTCACAGAAACCCCCCTGCCCCTGCCCCTGCCCCTGCCCCTGCCCCTGCCCCTGCCTCTGCCTCTGCCTCCCTCCAAAGAGTCATCAGAGTTAGAGCTTGAGTGAGAGGAAGCTAGGCCACCAGAGGCACAGCCTGTAAAGTGTCTTCCCCTTAGCTCTGTCTCCAGGGAATCTCTCTTGTGTTTCCAGACCTTTTCTAAACCCCCAACAAAAATAACTCAGGGTGATTGTGAAAATTCCTGAGTTCAAGATCTTCACTGGCTTTTTCTTTGATTCTAAGATACCAGTACTGTTGTAAGCCCTGAAAGGAGTAATATTGGTTACTAGGGACTAGAACTCCAGACCTCACACATGCTCTGTCTACCGACAAGCTATACCCCCAGAACCAAGAGATGGTTTTACAGACAACAAAGGACCAAGGAAAGCAGAAACAAGGAACAAAATTCTGGTTGGTCTTTTCAAAGTTCTCCGTCTTGTAAAGGAGATCCTTGTAATCCTTACCACTGGGTAAGGGTCAAAGCAGACAGAACCTCATGGCCACCTGCTTGAACCTGACCCATTTCAAGGAAACCTGCTGTTTCAGGGGGAGGGTCTCGTGCTTGTGTGCCCAGAGGAATCTTTTAAAAGGACCTGTGGAATCTGGGCTGGGACCCTGGCATTTGCATGTCTAGCCTATTCCCAGGCAAACCTGCTGGCCTGGGAGCCAAAGTGGAGAACCAACACTCTCAGGCTGCCTTGCTCAGCATTCCCAGTGCTCTGATGGATGGGATGGTCCTTTGTGTTGATGCTGGCCTGTGCATTGTGGGATGCTTATCTGGCTTCTGCTTGCTAGATGTCCACCATATCCCATCCCCAGTCCTGCCCCAGCTGTGACAACTGGACCGCCATTATGTGTGTGTATGTGTGTCTAACAGACAAGATCCCTCATGGAGTTGCACTTGGTTACCTGAAGGGCCTCATGCCCCTTTCTCCTCCTCATCCCACCCCAAGTGGCATGCTTCCTGCTGTGTGTGATCTAGACCTCAGAAATGTCCCTGGGGCCTGGAGACTCTGGTCCTGGGGTCAGCAGACCAGTAGCAATCGTGGGTGTTAAGAAATGAAAAATGTCTGGCTGGGCAGTGGTGGTGCACACCCACCTTTAGTCCCAGCACTTGGGAGGCAGAGGCAGGTGGATCTCTGAGTTTGAGGCCAGCCTGGTCTACAAAGCAGATGCCAGGGCTGTTACACAGAGAAACCTAAAACCCTGTCTTGAAAAACCACAGAAGGAAGGAAAGAAAGAAAGGAAGATGTAGAATCTTGGTGACACTTTTAAAAGTTTGGTTTTGGAGCCGGGTGTTGGTGGCACATGTCTTTAATCCCAGCACTCGGGAGGCAGAGTCAGGTGGATCTCTGAGTTCAAGGCCAGCCTGGTCTCCAGAGCGAGTGCCAGGATAGGCTCCAAAGCTACACAGAGAAACCCTGTCTCGAAAAACCAAAAAAAAAAAAAAAAGAAGTTTGGTTTTCTACTTTCTGTGTCCTACCTCAATACAGGGGGAAAAAATCTCGGTGGGTGTGGCCTGAGTATGGGGATTTTTAAAACTCCCTAGATATTTGAAGACTCTTAGAGAATTTTTTTTTTTTCCTTGAGACAGAGTTTCTCTGTGGCTTTGGAGGCTGTCCTGGTATTAGCTCTTGTAGACCAGGCTGGTCTCAAACTCCCAGAGATCCACCTGCCTCTGCCTCCCAAGTGTTGGGATTAAAGGCACACGCCACCACCACTCAGCTAGAGAAAGGGTCTTGCTGAATTATTTTAGGTCCATTTTTTCAAGTGGGGAGGCAGAGGCCCGGAGAGGTTGGAAGACCTTTGCTGTAGTCACTGGGAAGGTAAAATGTATAGATGAGGACTGTATGACGATTCAGTCAGTGAAGCTCATGCCTTGTGAGGACCTGAAGTCGCTCCTCCGGGATTATAAAAAGCATAAAAATTATTAGCATGTATACTTGCATTATAAAAAGCTAGGTGTGGTAGTCTGTACTGTAATCTCAGCACTGGAGAGGTGGAGATGGGTGAATGAATTCCTGGGGCTCACTGGCCAACCAACCTCACCTACTGGGCAAGCTTTAGGTTAATGAAAGACCTTGTTTCAAACAAAACAAAACAAGGTAGACGGCAGCTACACAATACGATACACACTTGGGATTTAGACCTGGCTTCCAGGATCTGTGGGTCTGCACCCCTCCGTCTTCCAGCTGCTAGCTAACTGCTCCAAACTGGCGAGCCTGATATAGTCCAGTACTACACCTTAGTGAGAAGTGAGAGAGCATCCTGGGTGTTGGGGTGGGAGAAGAAAGAGCCCTGCTCTGTGTGTGCACACTATGCTAGAGGCTAAATAAAGCCTGTGGCCCCGATGGATGTCAGACAGCAGGAATCAGTGGACATGAAGCTTCTCAAGCCACCCTGGTATTCCCCCAAGATACCTTATAACAAAAAACATTGTGTCTGGCTGCTGTCCCTGGCCAGGTTGTCATCCTCTGAGAAGTTCCTAGCACCTTTGCTGGCAGTTGTTCCCTCAGTGTCCATAGAGGACTGGCTCCAGGAATCCCAAGGATACCAAACTCCGAGGATACGCAAGCGCCTCATATAAAATGATGTTCTATTTTTCATGTAACCTGCACACACCTGGCTATATGTTCAGGATCACAGTCATGTTACTTATACTAACTAAGGCAATCTAACTTTGCAAATTGTTGCTTCATTGCCTCTGGGTGTGGTGACACACATAATCCCAGCTCTCTAGCTGAGACCAAAACATCCTTTTGAGTTGGAGTCTAGCCTGACTGCATAAAAAGTTCCGGGCTATCCTGGACTATAAAGTAAGACCCTGACTAAATAAATAAGTAGCAGAAGCAACACCAAAATAAGGGAAGAGAGAGAGAGAGAGAGAGAGAGAGAGAGAGAGAGAGAGAGAAAAGAAAAACAACAGCAACTGAAACAAAGCAGGGACAGCTCTAGAATGTTTCACAATATTTTTAAAGGTGCTTTTATTTTCTGATGTCTTAAATAGTTACAGCTTGTTTATGGAAGATCTGATTGTTCTATATAGTCTGCTATTTTCTTTCTTTTTTTTTTTTTTGACAGGTTTTTTTTTTTTTTTTTTTTTTTTTTTTTTTTGTAGCTTTGATCCACAGTTGACTCTATGGGTATGGAACCAGTGTTCACAGAGGGGAAGGCCGGCTGTAGAGTGTCAGGTTAACCCAGTATCGAGCTGTGCCCTGTTCTGACTTTCCCTCTTCTCCTCCACAGTACTCTCCCAGCATGAGGGCCACCTACATGTCCGTGGCGGATGAGCACCTGAGACACTACGAGTTCCCATCCTAGCAACTTTCAGGGTACCTGCCTCCTCCTGCCAGCTTGGTTTTCAGCTGATGCAGGTCCAGCTGTGTTTCTATAACAGAAACTGAAAAGTTCCTGGACTGGGAAGGTCCTGTGGCTGCAGAGACACAGCTGGGACACCTGACCAAAGCCACAGGTGGCTTAGAGACCCATGACTCGACCAGCCTCTCTGGCCAAGCTCTCCATCCTAGAACTCCATCAGGACTCAGCTGCTGTCCCAGAACCAGCTACCTGGTTCAGCAACCCTAAGTCCCATCCTCAGCAGATGCGAAGTGGCAGTGAGGAGGGGGACCACCAGCCTAAGAGCTCTATTGTCTCAAGGCCCTGCCTCTTGTTGGCATGGTCCTAAGGCCAGGCCACACCTTCTAGTTACTCTGTCCTCGCTTCCTAGCAGGTGACAGTTGGAAGTGTTTAGGAAAACACGTGACCCAGGAACCATGTTCTGAGACCACACAGACTCTGCCTAGGATAGCATTAAGAGTACTTCCCAGGGGGCTTGGTGGCTGCAAGCCAGGCACAGCAGCATAGCAGCCTTGGGCAGGAGCATGGGAGAAAGCCTGTCACATTCTGCCTCTCTAACCTCCACCAGGCACGGGTCTCAGCTGTAGGTGGGGACAGTCTCAGGTATGAACAGATACTTGGAAAGCAGCTGAACTCTTGTTCCTGGTATTTTTTAAAGACATTTTGATGATCCAAAGACTCACAGGCACCTCCAAACAGGTTCAGGTCTTATACCTGTTTCTATACTTTCTCTCTCTCTTTCTCTCTCTCTCTCTCTCTCTCTCTCTCTCTCTCTCTCTCTCTCTCCTCCCCCCCCCCTCTCTCATAAGCCATTTTACAGATCTGGAGGAGAGGCTGGGGAGTGGATTGTGGGGTGTTTTTTTGTTTGTTTGTTTTGCTGCAGTCTCATTATATAGCCCTGACTGGCCTTAGCCTAGATAGAACTCACAGAGATCCACCTGCCTCTGCCTTCAGAGTACTGGGATTAAAGGTGTGCCACCACACCAGTCCAGGAGCAGTTTTTTGGCTTTTCCGGACAGGGTTTCTCTGTGTATCCTTGGCTGTCCTGGAACTCCCTCTGTAGACCAGGCTGGCCTTGAATTCAGAAATCCACCTGCCTCTGCCTCCTGAGTGCTGGGATTAAAGGCATGCACCATCATACCCAGGCCATCTTTTTAAATAAAGATTGGTGAGACATCCTGTCCCAGGTGGCTGGAGAAGGATATCTAGGGCAATGTAAAGGAAGAGACATGGTAGCCAAGAAGACCAAGGAGCTTTCTCTATTCTGAAGAACTGCCATTTTCTGGCTAGGAGAAAATAATGACCCCTGTCCTGCCAGCTGAGGGACCAGGTTAGGCTATTTGGTGCTTCCAACCTCCTGCCAATCCAGAGTACAGAACACACTGAAGCCCCCATGGCCTTGCACACCTAAGCAGGGCCTGTGATAGTGTATGACAGGGTTGTTTCTATCTCAGAAGCCTCATCATCATCACACTGACAGCTCCCAGCCAAACCACCAGGCGCCGGCCTCACTGTGTCTCCTATAACCCGTGAATACTGTGAGCCATCTTTCTGCATCTGTGTGCTGTGCAAATCTTGGGCTGACCTCAAGGCACTGCTTCTAATGTCCCTCTGCAGCAGCTGAAGGACTTTTTAACGCATGTACATTAAACTAAAACTCCTCTCGGTTCTACAGGAGTCGGGTGGGCAAACTTCTGCTTGATACATTTCACCCTCACCTGAGCCAAGAAATAAACCAGGTCTCTTAAGATGTGCAGTTGACTGGGTCACTTACTCCCTAAGTTTTAGGGACTATCGAGTGGTACATGTCCCTTCCACGGAGGTTATGGAGGGACGGACTACAAGAGGCTCCAATCAGAGGTGAGAGGGGGGCTGTGAGGGGCCGGATAGACGGCTCAACAGGCTGTTCCAGAGGATCTGAGTTTGGTTCTCAACGCCCACGTCAAGCCGTTCACAACTACTGTAGTTCCATTTCCAGGAGATCCACTGCCCCCCTTCTGATCTTCCAGGATAACCACATGTGTATGGCATACACACAGAGAGACATATATACACCTATTTAAAAGCAAATCTTGGGGCTGTAGAGATGGTTCAGTAGTTAAGAGCACTGGTTGCTTCTGCTGAGGACCTGGGCTTGCTTCCCAGCACCCACATGACAACTCATGATCAGACACCCCAGCTCCATAGGATCTGACCCTCTTCCGGTCTCCATGGGCTCTCACACATAGGATGCACATACACAGGTCTTGTAGCCTTGGTTGACCTGGAACTCACTGTGTAGACCAGGCTGGCTTAGAACTCATTGCCATCTGCCTGTCTCTGCCTCCCAAGTGCTGGGACTAAAAGTTGTTCACCACTATGCTCAACATAAACACATTTTTCTTTTCTTTTCTTTTTTTTTTGGAGACAGAGTTTCTCTATGTAGCTCTGGCTGTATTAGAACTCACTCTGTAGAGCAGGCTGGCCATGGTGACTTCTGCCTCCCTAATGGTGGGACTAAAGGTATGCACCACTACACCTAGCTATAAAATCTTTTTTTTTAAAAAAAAAGAAAAAAGAGGGGGCTATGAGTGAATACTTCAGGTCATAGGTGCCTGTGACCTTCACCTATTTTCTGTTTTGTTCTTGTTTTTTGTTTGGTGGTGGTGGTGGTGATGGTAGGGGTGGCAATGGTGTGTGTGTGTGTGTGTGTGTGTGTTATGCACAGAGGTCAAAGGACAATGGCTCTTCTGCTTATACCGCCCCCATCTTAATCCCTTGTGATGGGGTCTCTCACTAGGCTGGCAGGCAGAAATTCTCCTGTCTCCCCCACTGCAGCACTGAGGTTACAGGAATGTGCCCTGTCACACCCAGCTTTTTAGGTGAGGGCTGGGGGTTTGAACTCAGGTCCTCATGTGTACACAACAAAAGCTCTTATCAGGGAGGTACATCCCTAACCTCTGCCTGTAGCTCCTCTTACAGAATCAGGGAAAGGCCCCATTTCTACTCTGGGCTTTCTCCAAAGTTCTCTCTGAAGGTCATCCATCACTCATCAGGCTGCTAATAGTAAGGAGCCTTTATTAAGTGTTTACTGGGAGCCAGCAATTCTCCCTGGGATTGGTGTTAATTTTTCATTGACTCTCAGAGTAAATATATAAAACTAGTGTTTTTACAGGTGCATCAAGGCTCAGAACCTTTTGGACTGAGGACAGACCCAGGGTGTCTCACACAGAGCTGGGTGCCTCTAGGTGGGGATGGGACGGGGCAGTGGTCAGGCAGGAGTTGCCCAGGCTGCTTCTCCACCTGCAATTCATGGGTCCATGTTGTCCTCCTGAGCACCTCATCTTCACAGGCTGCTTCTGGGGGTAGGGACAACTGAACACAAAGTCTCTGGGGCAGCCACCCCACCCCACTCCTTCCCCAGTTCCTGCTGGCAGCAGCACTGGTTCTGGTGCTTCCCCACAGGCTGCTCACACCCATGTGGAGCTGAGCTCCAGGACTTTCAGAACATCATGGAGCTCCTGGGTAAGCTACTGTATCCCCTGGGAGTGCTCGAGGGGAGAAGCTGAGCACCATTTGCAGATGACCTCAGCGGCTCAGAGGTGGACACGTGCTCTTGTGGCTTTTCCTGTTCTCTGCCTGCCCAGGGAACCCACAGCCTTGGGGAGATGAGTAAGAACAATGTGGGAAACTCCCATAACTAATTTGATTTTTGTGAAAACTGTGGCTCAGCACCCAGGTGATGTGGGCCGAGGGGACTTTTATGGTCTTGGCAACCTAGATGAAACTTGAGTTGCAAAAGGCCTGTAAGAAGTAGGAAGGGATGGTGGTGGCACACGCCTTTAATCCCAGAATTTGGGAGGTAAAGGCAGGTGGATCTCTGTGAGTTCGAGGTCAGCCTGGTCTACAAAACTACACAGAGAAACTCTGTCTCAAATAAACTAATAATAATAATAATAATAATAATAATAATAATAATAATAAGTTGTGGTCTGTGCCTACTAACGGAAGAGCTACTGTTTTCCACATGTGGAAAAAAGGTTGTTTTTGGGCTGGAGAGATGGCTCAGAGGGTAAGAGCACTGGCTGTTCTTCCAAAGGTCCTGAGTTCAATTCCCAGCAACCACATGATGGCAGACAATCATCCATAATGAGGTCTGGTGCCCTCTTCTGGCCTGAAGGATACATGCAGACAGAACAATGTATATATGATAAATAAAGTAATTAAAAAAAAAAAAAAAGAAGTAGGAAGGTGGGGATTGGAGAAATGGCTCCATCTCTCTTCTGCTCAATGAAAATGGAGTTCATCTGGCTGTTCTACCAGAAGACATGAGTTCAATTCCCAGCACCCACATGGCGGATCACAACTGTCTGTAACTCTGGTTCCAGGAGATCTGACGCCCTTTTCTGGGCACTGCATGCATACAGTGCACATACAGAAGTAACAATCAGTACACCCGTACACGTAAAGCTCAAAACTCTAGTTCTCTTACAAAAAAAAAAGAAAAAAAATTAGGACAGTGACTCAGTGCACAAGCCCAAGGGTGGGCAGATCAACACTGCGTCAGCTCTCTTCCGTGAGGAAGAAACACACTCACTGCATGCCAAGGGAAAGTGGTGTGGCGTTGAGAGGTCACGTGCCGCTGACCACCACTGGGCTCATCTGACTGCGTCTGGCGGTGACAGACCTGGAAAGAGCCCCTGGAAGAAGAGGACTGCTTAGCCTGCCTCCCGGGGGGGGGGGGGGGGGGGGGGGGGAGAAGCAGGGCTCCATGGAGGCCCTCAGTGAGGGCAGGCTTCCCCGGGAACTGCTTCAGATGTCCCCCACAACCTCCAGTGCTTCAGACTGAAGCTAGGGCCTTGCCCATGCTAGGTGGCCACTCTACCACGGAGCTAAACTCCCAGCTCAGCATTACCTCCTATCTCCATACAGTGTGCAAGAGGCCAGCCGTGTTCATTGCCCAACACACTCAGACAACTGTCCTTAGCAGCCCCCATGAGAACTTGTGCCCCCTAACCCACAAAGCCTGATGGTCCCTTACTTTTTCTGAATTTGAGGGCAGCAGAGGTGTCTGTGAAGTCATGGTCACAGTCCTGGGATGGAGTTTACCAATTATCATGTAACAGAACCAGATCTGATTGCTTGGATATGGGTTAGCTTTTGTGGGCAAGACTCTCATGAGCTTGTACTTCCTGTTTTAGTTTGCTGTGTGTGTGAGTGTGAGTGTTTTGTTTGGTGGTTTTGATTTGAGATGAGGTTTCACTATATAGCCCTGGCTAACCTGGAACTCACCATGTAGACCAAGCTAGTCTGGAAATCAGAAATCTGTCTGCCTCTACCACAGGAGTGCTGGAATCAAAGGGCACCCGACTTGGTCTAGTTTGTGCTGTTTGTTTTGAGACAGTCTCATATGGCCCAGGCTGGCCTCAAACTTAGTAAGGGTGACCTTGAATTTCTGTTTCTCTGACCTCCACCTCAGAAGCGTAGAAGTCATGTCTTCACTCGATTTTAAAATTAGAAAAACAAAACAATTCAACAAAAAAGGGTGAAAGCAGAAGGTTATGGGGAGTAGATATGATAGTACATTTTATACATGCATGCATATATGTATCCATGTATTATATATGCATGCATGTATTATGTATGTATGCATGTATTATGTATGTATGCATGTATTATGTATGTATGTATAATGAAAGCCCTTACCCTGTACTATTAAATACCCTAGTAAAAAAATCACTAACTAATCTTTCTGTAGAGGAGTTCTAAGGTCTGGTGTGGATCTTGTACTCACAGCACTTAGGAGGTAGAGACAGGAGGATCAGAAGTTCAAAGCTAGCCTGAGTTACATGAGACCCGGTCTTAAAAAAAAAAAAAAAAAAAAAAAAAAAAAAAAGAGAACGGGGGGAGGAAATAAAGCCAGTGGTGTAATGGACTAGAGACCTGCTGGAGTTTGTCCAGGGTGGGGGCTGATTTAAGCAAAGAATTACACTGTGATTGGGTGGAAATCTGAGAAGCTGAGGGGAAAAAAATACCCAGGACCTTATGAACACTCCTAATTATATGACCTCATGCTGGCCTCCCATGGTGGTTGAGCTGGACCTGCCAAGAGCTTAAGAGCTAAGAGCCAGCGAGCCAGGGAGCGAGGTAACCCTTTCCTGTATCGGTTGGCTTCACACAGGCCTGAGTGAGGGTAGGATAGGGTAGGATAGGGTAGGGTAGGGTAGGGTAGGGTAGGGTAGGGTAGGGTAGGGTGGTGAGGGGAGCCAGGGATAACATCATTGTCATAATAAAAATGACTGCTGGTTTCCTTTCCAATCCGCCCTTTTTTTTTTTTTTTTTTTTTTTTTTTTTTTTTTTCTTATCTACACCGCACTCCCACTTCCCTAGCCATGTGTCATCACAGAGGCCCCAGCTTGCAACCCCAGCCAGCCACATTGCTCCATCTGGGAACAGATGAGCTTGCTACTCTGGTTCACGTCGTGCCCCACCCCCACCCTGGGAGTAACTCCCCACTCCTTCCCCCGCAACTCAACTCAAAACCATTTTCTAGGGCCCAGTTCCAGCCCCATAACCCACATCTTGGTGACTCACTCTTTGCCTGGCTTCATCCAAATCTCCAGTGCCCACGCCTGGCCTCAGGTTCACCCCGTTCTCTGCAGCCTGTAGCCGCAAGCACAGTGCTGGCAGTGGCTGTGTCTGATCACATATCTGCCCATTACCCCGAAGAACTGTCACGGTCCTCCTGAAGATGAGGGAAGTTAAGTCCCAGAAATGGAAACTAAGGCTGGGGGTGTAGTTCACTGGTAGCCCTCTAGCCTATCAGACGCAAGGCCCTCTTCAGTACCAGTCAGTGTTCAATAGCTGTGAAAAGACACCATGACCTAGGCAACTCTTATACAAGAAAATTTAATTGAGGGTTGGCTTATAGTTTCAGAGGGTTGGTCCATAATCGTCATGTCAGGAAACATGGTGGCATGTCGGCAGGCATGATGCTGGAGAAGTAGCTGGGAGCTACATCCTCACCCATAGGCAGCAGGAAGAGACAGACACTGGGCCTGGTGGGGCTTTTGTAACCTCCAAGCTCTTCTCCTCCCCCCCCACTCCCCCCTCGACACACCTCCTCCAGCAATGCCCACCTCCCAATCTTTTCCAGACAGCTTGCCCAACTGGGGACTAAGCATGCATATCTAGATACCTGTGGGGACCAATCTCATTCAAGCCATCACAAGGTAGGGAGAGGGACTTGCTAGAAATTATGTGATAAATAAATGACCAAGCTAGGGTCCCCAGCTCCAAATGCTCCTAGGGTCTTCTGGGAAGCTCTATGAGATTCTGAGGTTTTCTTCCTGTCTCAAAAAATCAAAAAAAAAAATTTAAAAAAAGAATCACTGTGTGTGTGTGTGTGTGTGTGTGTGTGTGTGTGTGTGTGCTGATGTGCCATACGTAACACAAGTATGGAAGTCAGAGGACAGCTTGGGGAAGTCAGCTCTCTCCCTCACCATGTGAGTCAGGGGCTCAAACCCAGGTCATCAGAAGCGGTGACAATCCCTTTTCCCCACTGAGCCATCTCACCAGTCCTAGATGTAGGACTAAACCTCCCTTCTTTAATTTTTAGTTACTGATCATTATTATTGTGGGTGAGCACCTTAGCAGGTGTAGGTCAGACGACAACTTTGTGTAATCTATTCTTTTTCCACTTTTACATGGGTTCTAGGATTTGAACTCACGTTTGTCAGGTTTGTGAGGCAAGTGCCTGTAACTCACTGAGCCATCTTGTCGGCCCTTGATAGGGTTTTCTAATCCCTCCTGCATTTCTCACTTCCTGCCTTAAGCTCATGAGAACACGTCTCTCATTGTGTCATCCATGCATCCATCAGCTCTTTCATTCACGCAATGAAACCACGTTTACAATGTGCCAACCACACAGCTAAGCCATGCATGCATTCAGCCTGACCCTGAAGGAATTCCTATTCTGGAGATGTATGCAGAAGGTTGGTGGTGCAGCGGACATGGCAGCAGAAGAGACCCGGACATTGCAGCAAACAGTGACAAATCAGACAAGATCAGAATGACCAGAGCAGGCTTTCATTAACCCAGGCGCAAGGCTTCCCACGCACCGGTTGGTCACTTTGCTTTATTTTCAGACTTCGCCGGATGCATAACTGTAGCCTTGGGTAAGCGTTTTTGGTTTTTTTTGTTTGTAAAGCAAGCCAAGCGCTGGTTTACTTTCCTCCACCTCTTCCGTAGATGACCTCCAGATAAGGGAGGAGAGAAGGGCTTTGCTTCCGACCGGGGGCTGCGAGGTGGTGGTGGGGTGACTGATGTCACGTGCTCCAGATCTCCTTCGGAACGGCCAGTGTCTCGGCCCAGACAGGGTTGCTAGGCAACCGGTAAACTCCACAGCTCCCAGCCGTTTGAATTGCGCTGAAGCTGGGACGTGGCTTGGGCGCTTTCCCGAGCCTGGCGTGGCAGGAGAAACTGAGGCTAGGTAAGGGACTGGCGCCCGGGAGGAAGCCTGGCGACAGAAGGGAAGAGCCACAGAGGGTAACAATCACCACCAGTTCAAGAAACCTAGGAGATTCCTTCTAGAGGAGCTGTCGGACGCTGAAATCGGGACCAGCGCTCTTTGGTCAGCATTAATCCTCGCTGCCCAAGTTCCAGGACCTCGGCAACCCCCAAGCACCTTGCCTCCTGCCCCACTATTGTAAGCATTTCTGGGGGATCGATGGGACAGGTATTCTGGCACTCGGGAGTCTCAGAATACTGAGTGTTACACAGCTCAGATCGAAAGGTATCCTGGAGCTCGGGAGCCAAGGAATACCACAGGTCACAGTAAGCACAGCAGCTCACAGCCCTGTTTGCAGGGGTGGTTTCCCCAGTGTATCAGCTCTGCTCTGGCAGGAAAGGGTTTCCTCCGCGAAGTTGTTACATTCCAGTTCTGCTCTGGGAGAGCAGAGTGTGGAAACTCAGCTCTGTCAGGGGAAAGTTTCACCAACAAAAGTGTTACAGCCCTGCTCTCTGCTCTGCCCAGGGTCATCTCTGCTCAGCCACAAAAGGTCTTAACTCAAAGCTCATCCAAGGGGTTTATTGGGAGGGAAGAATGCAGGAAGAGTGGCTGCCCTCTGCCAGGGTGGCATAAGACAGCCAGGCAGCCTGAACAGCCATAAGCTGAACAGACACAGGGTTTATATAGGGATTCTTAGGGGTGGAGTTTTTCCAGGGGGTGGGGATTGGCCAGATTTCAATCTCTGAACTCGGATTGTCTAGATATCCTGCTCAGGGATTGGTTAGTTTTCTGCACAGGCTTGGGGTCAGATTTAGCTCTGGTTTCAGGGCCAAAGTGTGTTTCTTTCACTGGTCCTTTTTAGCCTTTTGGCTCTAATTTTAGGGTGTATTTCTTTGACTGACTCTGATTCCAGAGACAAAGTGTGTTTCTTTGGCAGACCCCTTTTCCCTACAATTCTCCCAATAGGCTCTGAGCCCGACTGTGTCCCGGAGTGGGCCGGACTTCTTTCAGGCTTTCATGTGAATGGAGCAAACGTTCTGCCTGGGGAGGATGGGGCCGTTAGGAGAGCTTTCTGTTGGGAGGGAGAGGGAAAGGCCTGAGGTCCCTGCACTACTTGGGAGGCAGATGCAGGAGGATAACTGAGAGTCCTAATTCAGCCTAGACTATTCTCAGTAGGCTCCAGGCCAGCTGGACTAAGAGTGAGAACCTGTCTCAAAATTTAGAGAGGGGCCTGAAGGGATGGCTCAGCATTTAAGACCGAGTATTGCTCTTGAAAGAGGGCCAAGACTTAGATTTCCAGCACGGGCATCAGGTGACTCCCAGCCCCTGTAACTCCAGCTCCAGGGGATAGTACACTTTTGGCCTCCACTCCAGTTCATTTGTGTGCACATACCCCATCCCCCCTCACACACGCACATGATGGAAAACAAAGTCAATCAAGGAAAGTGATGTGGGGGAGGTCACAAGAGGACTGAGGGCTGGGTACAGGCACTGTATGTGTGCCCCTTTCCTTTGCCCCTTGGCCTGAGAGTGGGCCTTATCATGCTCATTAGGGTCATGAAAACATTTCCTAGCCGGATCCGGGAGTTTCTTAAAGTCATGGGGACGACACAAGGAGCCTTCCCTCTGCACTGATTGCTCAGGCAAGGCTCCTCAGTCCCAGGCACACAGATGGGCTGACCCAAGCGACAAAGGCCAGCCCTCCTCCTGGCCTGTCTCTGGCACTGGCACCCCTGCTTCCTGCCATTCCCCTCACTCCCCTCCCAGCCGTTACCATACTTTCTGTTAAGCCACTAGGCTTCTCTCTAGGAATGACTTTGCTCATCACCCCTGCATGAGGCAAGCGTTGTTTTGAGATTGGGGTTAAGGATCCATTGAGACTCTCCCCCCACCAGGATGCAGGACTTGATTGCATGTTTTGGTGTTTGTCCAGGCTATGGAGGTTCTTTGTGAGTTTGAGAGTTGTTGGGGCTGGGTGTAGCTCAGTGGTAGAGCACTGGTGTGTGTGTGTGTGTGTGTGTGTGGTTCTAGAATCCGTATTTAGCAGTGAGGGTGGGGTGAGATTGTGGTTCTTCATATTTCTGGATCTCTATATTCTCATGGGGCAATCTCCCCCTGATACTCCTAGGCAACAATAATACTTTTGGTCCCCTCTGCTACACACACACACACACACACACACACACACACACACACACACACATACAGAGAGACACATACAAACACACACACACAAACACACACACACACACACACACACAGCTTTCAGACACCCTGCTCAGACCCTGGGGAAGCCCCATCCTGCAACACTGGTCTCCCAAGAGAGGGGACCAACTTTTGTGACACCCCTTGGCTGACCTGGTCATTTATCTTTTCCCTGTGCTAGCTTGTGAGAAAAAGAGCCTGCTTTGAGTCCCTGAATGTGCTGTTCTTCCTGTCACCAGGCTAGCCTTTAAATGCCCTCTCTGTCTGCCTCCAGACACAAGACAATGCCTCCGTTCTCCATGAGGGCCTGGCCTTGGGAAACACCAAGGACATAGCAAAGCTGTTAGAATCTGATCAGGGCTGGAGGCTGGGTTGTTTTTGTTTTTGTTTTTCTTCCCAGAATTTTCTCATTCTCTTAAGTGTCTTTATGTCGCCTGCCTTAGGAGTCAGCTGTGTCACAGCAATTGGAGATGGAGAGAGACAGCCCCTAATTGCCTGAATCCAGCTGCTGGTTCTGGGAGACAGGACGCTTTTCATGACTGGTGGAAGACAGGGAATTTAATTGACTTTGCACTCTTTTCCCCAAGGCTTCAATTTCATCCAGACAGAATGAAGATGTCAGGGCACCCTTATGCAGACTTGCTGCCTTGACCACCCCTCTGCCCTCTGAGGCATCACCCCCACCTATAAGGGAGGCTTTCCAAACCACATTCTTCAAGAGTATGGTTTGTGTTGGCTTTGGGAGTGGTTTGAAGCATGCTGTTTATTATTTTTGTTGTTTGTTTTCAAGACAGGGTTTCATGTAGCTCAACCTAGCCTTGAATGATGTAGCTGAGGCTAGCCTTGAACTCCCAATTCTTCTGCCTGCCTCTACCACCCAAGTGCTGGGATTACAGGCATGTGTCACCATGCTAAGCAGGTCATGCTGCCTTCAAGGAGCAATATAAGGGTGCCAAGAGACTGGAGAGTTAACCCCATCCCCCTTTCTCCTCACTCAGCCCCTGCTCCACCCTGGCACCTGCTTCTAGATGGACATGCCCAGCTCTCAGCCCCTCAGTGTCCAGGACTCAGCAGCCAGAGCCATGGGTCCAACTCCTACAGCCAGGGAGCCCTATAGTTTCTGTTCTTGCATTCAGAGCAACACAGCCCATTTTGAGTTCATTTTTGCTATAATATGAGGTACAGCTCTTTCCAATCTTTCTCTTGGGAATGCTCATTTGTCCCAGCATCATCTGCTGAAAAGACCATGCCCTCCCCTTGTATCCCTCCCTGATGGCTTGTCAGAGATCAGCTGACCATAAACACGAACAACGGTTTAGTCCTGACCTTTCAGTTCTGTCTTCATTGATCATATGTCTCCTTGCATCAGGACATCACTGCTTTCATTACTCATGGTTGCATTGATTGATTGATGGATGGACAGATGGATGGATGGATGGATGGATGGATGGACAGACAAACAGACAGACGAACGGATGGACAGATAGATGGATGGATGGATGGATTTAAACAAGTTTTTGAGTTTAAGTCTCACTGGGTAGCCCTGACTAGCCTGACACTTATTCTGTTCTAGGCTGGCCTAGAACTTGCAGTGATCCTCCTGCCTCTGCGTTTTCTGTGCTGAGATTATAGACATACCACCATGTCTAGTGCATAATTGGGTTTTATTGTCTATCTCCCCTTTCCCCCTCCCCTCTCTCTCCTCTCTGCTTGTGTGTACATCTGTCTTTGAGATAGGATCTTTTTAAAAATTTGTTTTTAAGATTTTTTTATTGAGCTTTACATTTTCCCCTACACTCCTTCTCTCCTCCCCTCTCCCATTCCACCCTTCCCCTGTTTTTACAATTTTTAAAGTGTTAATCTTATATGTAATGAATGTTTTGCCTGTGTGTTTGCCTGGTACCCCCAGAGGCCAGAAGACATCAGATCCCCTGGAACTGGAGTTACAGTTACTGAGAGCTGCCATGTGGGAATTTAACTCAGGATCTCTGGAAGAGCAGTCAGTGCTCTTAACCTCTGAGCCATCGCTCCAGCCCGCCACCTGTTTTTTGTTTGTTTGTTTTTTGTCCCTCCTCAAAGTGGCTCATAGAGCCACATAGGTGGAGGGATGGAGGAGGCATAGATCCCCTGTGTGACCACCAGAGGCGGTGTCGAGCCTGGTAATCTGGCACTCTGGCATGGATGAGCCTTTTGAACAGTTGTGCCAATGGCTGGGGCTTGCTTCTTAAGAGATTCAGGTCTCTCTAATCTGTGTATCATATGGTTCAAATATTGAGTGTGATGGTGGGTTTAACTCAACCTCATAGTCGTCAATATTGCTTCCAGCCTTTCCAGCAAGTCCATTGATTCAATAGAAAGTGTGTAATCTTGTGGGTAAGAGCTCTGAAGCCAGGCAAGCCACCCGGGCTACTTGTCAGCTATACGACGCCAGGAAAGCCACCTAAAGTTATGAATGTTCTGTGAGACGGTGGTTTCATTGCTCACTTCAAAGGGCAAGAGCAAGTAACAAACAGTGCAATCTAGACTCAGCACACAGTTGACACTCAGTTACTCTTGGTGTTTGAGGTTTTTGTCTTGATTCCTTTTGTTTCTTTAAAGACTTTATTTTTCTGGACACAGTGGCTCATGCCTTAAATTTCAGTACTCAGGATGCAGAGGTGGGTGAATCTCTAAGTTTTAAGGCGGCTTGGTTAGTTCCAGACCAGACACGGAGACACTATCTCAAATAAGATGTCTTCAGCTGGGAGAGGGTGGAGTAAGGGGGGTGGGCGGGGTAGGCATATACACACATGCTAAAAGAGGCCAGAAGGTGGCTTGGGGTCTATAGAGCCAGAGTTACAAGCAGTTGGAGAACCAAACTCCAGTCCTCTGTAAGAGCAGCAAGTGCTGTTAACCATTTTAGACAGCCTTGCTGTACACACAGGCTGTTTTAGAAGCAAAGGCTGACCTGAAGCTCATGGCAGTCCTCCTGCTTCCGTCTTCCCAATGCTGGGAACCATCATACATGGTTTCAGATGAAGGATTTGGGGTTTGGATTTTTTGTTTGTTTGCTTTGCTTTGCTTCTGTTTTGTGTTTTGAGAAAGGATTTCATATAGCCCAGGCTGGCTTTGAACTTGCTATGTAGCCTAGGATGATTTTAAAGTCCTGGTCCTCCTGCCTCCACCTTCATGGTGTCTCACTGAATGCGATTACTTTTAAGAGATTGTGTGTAAGTGTGTGGGTAGGAGGCAGTTACCTGCATCCTGCGTGAGAGTCTAGACACAATGTGTGTGCACGACCCATAGGGGCCAGAAGAGGGTGATGTTGGGTCCCCTGGAACCGGAGCCACAGGTACTTGTAAGCAGTCATATGGTTGTAGGAATGGACCCCAAGGTCCTCTGGAAGGGCAACCAGTGCTCTTACCCACTGAGTCATCTCTTTAGTCCCTAAATGATGTTTTAAAAATACAGGTGTAGCTTCTGGAGACATCTCCTAGGCTTCCCTAGCCTGGCTCCCTGCAAACCAGTTGCAAAACGTAGCCCCACCTCTGATGAGACCTGAGGAGATGGGCAGTATCTGGGTGGACCCCTCACCAATCTCAGGCTCTCCTCTGTGTCCCCCTCCCCCAAACAGCTGTCACAGCCATCACCATGGAGATCGTCTATGTGTACATCAAGAAGCGCAGCGAGTTTGGGAAACAGTGCAACTTCTCAGACCGCCAGGCTGAGCTGAATATCGACATTCCGCCCAACCCTGAGCTGGCTTCACAGTATGTGGAGCGGAACCCAGTGGACACCGGCATCCAGTGCTCGGCCAGTATGTCAGAACACGAGGTGGGTTCCTGCCGTGGACACCCAGATCAGTGGGGAAACTGGCCTGCCTGGAAACTAGGTAGAGTGGAAAAGATCAGGTGTGGGAGGTGTACGTTGGGCCAGAGCAGGTGTGTCCACAGAATGCACTCACTCTCTGAATTGCTATTGATGCACAGTCTCTGTAATGCTGAAGGATGGAGGATATATATGAGACAGAGTTTCTCTGTGTAGCCTTGGCTGTCCTGGAACTCGATCTGTAGACCAGGCTGGTGTGACGATAAATATTTCTGCCAAAAGCTGCCTGAGCCCCACTGCCACGTGTGAGCTTTACGCCAGCCGCCTACCCGAGTTAGGCCCAAATGAACACACAGAAACTTGTATTAGGTTCAATGCTGCTAGGCCAATGACTAGGATTCTCATCTGTTAGCTCAGTCTTAACTATCATAAACCTATATATTTTATAAGACTTATCTTATTGGACGCCTTATTTGCGTCCCTCCTTGCTGGTGGATCACATTGTGCCGCTGGAGCAGGATCCGAGGGGAAAAAAGGGCCCTTCCTGTTTCTCCTTCGCTTACATACGAGTCTGCTTGCTATGTCACTTCCTGCCTGGATCAGCACTGCTCTACTACATTTCCCAGAATCCTCTTTTACTCCTAGTTTCTTTTATCTTGCTGTCTCATTGGCCAAACAGTATTTTATTTAACAATCAATAAGATAAACACACACAGTAGTACATTCCCCATCAGGCTGGCCTCGAACTCACGAAGATCCACCTGCCTCCGGAATGCTGGGATTAAAGGCGAGTGCCACCACCTCCTGGGGGAGAATAGAGGATTAATCACTGTTGATGTGCTGTCTCCTGGGATGGGTGGGTGGATTCCTGGGCCTATTTAACTCCAGATGTGGCTGAGGATAGGTGTGAGTGTGGCCCAACACACCACCAGGGCTTCCCAGTTGTAGCCTGCACTTCAAAGCGCCCCACTCTAGGAGAGCCGGATTAAAGCAGAAAGGAGATGGGGCAACGAGCTAATGGGCATGGGGATCCCTTCCTGGAAGATAATGAAAAGCTTTGGGACTACGGAGAGGTGATGGCTGCACCACATTTTGAGGAGATGTAGCTCAGTTGGTAGAATTCTTGCCTAGCATGCATAGAGAGCCCTGGATCCATCCCAAATGTTGCATACAACCAAGTGTGAGCCAGGCGTGGTGATGCACGGTCTTTAATCTCTGCACTGGGAAGGCAGAGGCAGGTGATTCTGGGTTCAAGGCCAACTTGATTGACACAGCTCGAGTTCCAGGCAAGCTAGGGTTACATAGTGAGACCCTGTCTGAAAAATAAAATAAAATAGGGGCTGGAGAGATGGCTCAGAGGTTAAGGCACTGGCTGTTCTTCCAAAGGTCCTCAGTTCAAATCCCAACAGCCACATGGTGGCTCACAACTATCAGTAATGAGATCTGGTGCCCTCTTCTAGCCTGCAGGCTACATGCAGGCACAAATACATCTTTTGAAAAATAAGAAAATTAGCAATAAAAATAAAAGCAAGTGTGCCAGCACACGCTTATAATCCCAGCACCCTGGAAACAGAGGCAGGAGGATCAGAAGTTCAATGTTATCTTCAAGCTACACAGTAAATTTGAGGCCCACCTGGGCTACATGAGACCTTGCCTCAAATATAAAATAAATGAATGAATGAATGAATGAATATGGGAGTGGGAAGATGGGGGAGGGGAGTCAAGAAGGCAACTTTATCTGGGAAAACTGCCCTGCCGGCTCCACAGCACGCACAGCGCAAGCCACACTCTGAATTGCTGTTGATTTGCAGTCTCTGGGATGCTAAAGGATGAGGATTAATCACTGCTAATATAATATCTCACGGGATGGGTGGGTGGGCTCCTGGACCTATTCAAAATAAAGATGGAGCTGGGTTTTCTATGACCACCATTGCCCTATGCTAAACTGTCAAGGTAGTGCTACTGAGGCCACCTGTAGTCACCTGAGGACCAGACAGGGCCTCACTTTGTGCCTTTGGTCAGGGCACCCCTTCCTCAGTACCCCTTTAACAGCTCAGGGTCCCGGGACCCGAGACCCGAGGATCTGGGTTTCTAGAAATGGCTGAATGCTTAAACCTGTGACATCTCACGTGTGGATCTCTGTTTAGGCCAACACGGAGCGGTTTGAGACGGAGAGCTGCGGGATTAACCATGTTGAGGGGGGCTGGCCCAAGGATGTGAACCCCCTGGAGCTGGAACAGACCATCCGCTTCCGGAAGAAAGTGGAGAAAGATGAGAATTACATCAATGCCGTCATGCAGCTGGGCTCGGTTAAGCTCCTCCCCCTGCTCCTGCTGTCCAATACCAGTTCCCTCGCCTTGGACTGTGCCCAGGCTATGCATAGCCCCATGTAGGCTTCCGTGGCTCTCATCCAGGGAAGGGGGGAACCTCACCGCTGACCATAAGGGCCTGTAGCCAAACAGGTTTTAGAAAGAGACTAGAATGCTGGAAGAGGGCTGGCAAGATGGCTCAGCCTTTGTCACCAAGGCTGATCACATGAGTTGGAGCCCTGGAACATACATGACAGCTGGAGAGAACTCACTCCTGTAAGGTAGTCTCTGACTGTCACACATGTGCAATGGTGAGCACATCTGGCCAAAAACAAGGGCACACACACAAGAATAGTAATTAAATAAATAAAATTCGGTAAAAGGGTACTCCTAAAGAGTCTTACCAATCAGTCAGTAACGAATATTCACATGCATGCCCAGAACTGAATCTAAGTCTCTGCCAGACACAGCCGATGCTGCCAACTGAATCTCACTCACATGTCTCCTGCCCCCAACGAGTCTGTAATTCACTCCAAGAGTCCAAGACAGACAGACAGACACACAGACACACAGACACACAGACTTTGCCAGATACCATCAAATGGAACCCTGTTGGAGACCATTTGCTTCCTAAGCAGGGATTTCCTGCTGATGGGATCAAAGAAGGTTGCTGGAAGGGTATTGCGCTTGGGCTAGACCTTGCTGAACAAGGAACAGCAGGAGGGCCTTTAGGGTGGTTTGTCTTTGACCTAAATGCTATGTGGGCCGAGCTTCTATGCCTACATTCTCAAGAACCAATTGTAACTCTTTGGAGGGGATGCTTCCCCCATGGAACAAGGGCAGGGACCTCTCTATGTTTGCTCCTTCTCAGACTGCGGGATAGCCCCCCACAGGGCGGGGCCAGGGGATAGGCCCCCATTGGGCGGGGCCAGAGCTCTCTCGGTAAGAACCTTGGGTGTTCCCGCAGATCATGGAGCATTGCATCAAGCAGAACAATGCCATTGACATCTACGAGGAGTATTTTGATGAGGAGGATGGCGTGGAGGTGACTGAAGAAGCCCCTTCAGCCAAGACCATCAACGTCTTCAGGTAGCTTCAGAGAGAGGGTGACAGGTGGGAGTGAGCAGCCCAGTGAGGATGCTGGGAACCAAACCCAGGCTCTCTAGAGGAACCCATACCCTCTCTGGCCTACACAGGCACCAGGCATGCGTGTGAGGCACACACACACACGAAGGCAAAACACGGATACGCATAAAATAAATATATATATTTTAAAAAGTAACTGACTCTAGTTTTTCACAGTTTTAGGCTCTCAGAGGAACAGAACAGGAGTGCAGAGAGCTCTTATGCAGCCAGTGTGATGTTTCACACACCTGGAGTCCTAGCACTCAATAGGCTAATGAAGTAGGACTGAAAGTTCTACGTCAGTCCAGGTTGCAGACTTTGCCAAAAACAAAAACAAAACCATGGTGGTCCACACCTGTAATCCCAGCTCTTGAGAAGCAGAGGCAGGGAGATCAGGAGTTCAAGGTCATCCTCAGACTCAGGAGGTACATAGGGAGTCTGAGGCCAGCCTGGGCTGAATAAAACCTTGTCTTAAAAAAAAATAAAAATAAAAATCAAGAGCCAGTTAACCAATCCACCAAGTCTCTGCTATGCAGAGGCCATGGTTTCCATTAGGGGGCACTCTTGGGCCTCATAGTCGATGGATTTGGACCAAGGTCCAATACAGAGCAGGTTTTCACTGCCCTAAAAAGTCCTGACTGCTTTTCCTATTCATTCTCCTGCCCTCCAACTCCTAGTACCCACTGATCTTTTTATCATCACCAACACCCTACAACTTGTGGTCCCGTTAGTCTGCTTTCTTTTTCTCACTAGTGGGCTTGTTTCTCTGAATCTCGCCCCCCCCCCCCAGTTTCCTTTTCTTTCTGGCTGGCCTAGACTCACTATGTAGCCAACACTAGCCCTGAATTCCTGATCCCTCTGTGGTCTCCCAAGTGCTGGGATTCCAGCCCTTGTTTTATGTGGGGCTGGGGAGCAAACTCAGAGCTTCATGGATGTAGGCAAAGACTCTAGCAGATGAACTTCATCCCCCAACTCCCCTTTTATTTATTTAGAACTGGGGTCAGAGTTAGAGGTGTGTGCTGCCATGCCTAGCTGGCCAAGAGTTGTGAACTCGTTTGGGCAATTACCAAGTAGTGAACTGACTGGATTCTCCACCTCTTTCATCCTGATAATCATGAGATAATAAGACTCCCAGTAAAATATTTCATAAAAGTAAAAGTGTTTCAACTAGGCCAGCATGGTGGCGCACACCTTTAATACCAGCACTGGGGAGGCAGAGACAGGCAGATCTCTGTGAGTTCAAGTCCAGCCTTGTCTACAGTAATTTTCAGGCCATCCAGGGCTACACAGTGAGACCCCCCATCTTTAAAAAGAAAAAAGAAATGTGTTAAACTACAGCTCACAGTTGTGACACATAAGATTATCAGAACAGTTGGGGCTATACAGGAATCATCTTACTGAGGACACAGCCTGTGTTGGTGTGTACCTAGTATGTACAAAATCCTGGGTTTGATCCCCACTATCTTATAAACTGGGTGCCCAGGTGCACACCTGTAATCTCAGCACTTGGGAGGTGGAGGCAGGAGAACCAGAAATTCAAGGTCATCCTCAGTTTAAGGCCAGCCTGGGGTACATGAGATCTTGCCTCAAAAAATATATCTATTATTAGCCTGAAGTTCAGTCATCTCCTTCCATGGCTGTTTCCTCTAGGTAGAGCTGTTTAGACTGGCTTTCCATTTAAGAAAGTCTTGTCAACTTCAGGGGTTTCTGTGGGTTTCGCTTTGTTTTATCTATCTATCTATCTATCTATCTATCTATCTATCTATCCTCTATTTATCTATTGAGACAAGGTCTATCTACTCTGTAACCTAAGCTGGCCTGGGTTGTGGATTTACAGGCAGGAGCCATGAGTCGTCAGCTTCAACCTTGTAAAATCAATTCCTAAGTAAAAGCAGTTGTTTAGATCTACTTGGATTTTTTACAGAGGAATCTGATAGACACAGATCTGGGCAGACCCTACCCTCCAATCCTCTGCCTTCCCTACCCTCCCTCCAGGGACCCTCACGATATCAAGAGGACAGCCACACACCTCTCCTGGCATCCTGACGGCAACAGGAAGCTGGCGGTGGCTTATTCCTGCTTGAACTTCCAGCGAGCCCCCACCGGCATGAGCAACGACTCCTATATCTGGGACCTGGGTGAGGAAACAGGTGGTTCCACTGGCCAGGGAGGGCTGAGGGGCCAGGTTAGAAGCCAGCAAAACTCAGGGAGCTGACACTAGACAAGGGGTCAAAGACACTCTGGGGGGCCACCAGGGGCAGGAGGAAGGCTCTTGTCTCCTCCCTGTGTGGGAGTAGGCAGGCACAGCTCCACAGAGCCAAACCAGATGGGAAAAGTCCCCATCCATGCTACATTTGCCTTCCACACTGGGAGTGGATGCTATGGCCTTGTGAGTGTTGCTACTCCCCAGCCCAACTCCACATTGTAATCTGGGGCATTGAGATCCTTGGTATCCCAGAGCCCTGGGATCCGAATAACAGAAGGAGCATAACAGAAGGATTCCTACTTGACCAAGCAGGGACCCAAGCAGAGGGAAACCACCCCACCTTTCCTGACACTTGCCTCTCCCTAGTGACCGACAGTGACAGACCGTTTTTCCCCAGGGAGAAATGGTCATGATGTCAACGTGTAGGCAGGACTCAGAACTGACTTTCGGCAGCTCATCAAATTCTGACGGCCGCCCTCACCCAGGGTGAGGGTCGCCCTAGTTTCAACCCTGGTCCTCAGACCTGGGTGGAAGAAATTGACAGAGAGTAGATTTCCTTGCTTGTTTTTATTTTTGTTTTTCAAGACAGTTTCTCTGTAAATCAATCCTGTCTATCCTGGAACTCACTCTGTAGACAAACAAGGCTGGCCTCAAACTCACAGAGATCCCCCTGCCTCTGCCTCCCGAGTGCTAGGATTAAAGGTGTGCGCCACTAACGCCCGGCCAAGAGTAGACTTTGTGTAAAACCTCAGTGCCATCTAATCACGGATCTAGCAACTTGGAGCTGGCTGAAGCAGCAAAGGAATGAAGAAAAGACAAACAGACATACACTGAAAGGCTGAGGCAGGGCGGTCTGGGCTCTCTGCTGGAGAAATCTCAGTGTCAAGGAAGCTCACTGTGTTTGTTGTATAGAGTTGAACAGAGATGTGGGGCTATTGCACACAGCCGGACAAGGGTACAGGATTACACACGCAGATAAACAAGGAGGCAGGGCTATTGTACAGCTGGATCTAGAAGGCGGGCTTAGGTAATCTTAGGGGCTGGATCCCTGTAGGCGAGCCATCTTCAGTCTGTAAATATCTGGTAAGGAGAAAGCTATGGTCAACATTCTCTGCACACACTCTCAACACTCACCCGAGTCTGCTGGAGGAAGCTTTACCATTTCCCTGTGAGCCTCACCCCCCCCCCCCCAGCAGGGGATGGAGGTGAGGTGAGGCTTTGCCCTTCCTCCCTGGGTCTGAGGCTCTGGGGTCCTTGGCACCGCTGGACCTATGTCAAAAGCAACCAAGCACACATTCACTCGTGACTTCACTCACTCGGACTTCCTCCACGCCTTCTGCCTTAGGACCAAATTTTCACTTCATACCAAACCTGGGGAATGGACTAGAAATCAATATATGAATGCACACCCCAATCCTGGCTCTCACCCCTATGTCCCCCAAATAGAGCCACTAGCAAAGATTCAGGCAAAAGAGACCACAAGGGGAGGAAGGGTTCCACACTGTCCTTGTCACCCTCTGCACCATGAAGAATGGGTTAAACTGATCCACCCTGTCCTTTCTCTGTGTAGGCCTAATGGATTTCCCCCCTCTTTATTTTAGAAAACCCCAACAGACCTGAAATTGCCCTGAAGCCATCTTCTCCTCTCATCACCCTGGAGTACAACCCCAAAGACTCCCACGTGCTCCTAGGGGGCTGCTACAATGGGCAGATAGGTAAGCAGAGGCACAACACCACTAGCCCACATGGCTGACAGGGCCCAGCCCGGGCTTAGCAGGCAGACCATTCAGGAAGCTAACATTGCAGTCCCGAGGGAGTCAAGGTTTGCTGACACTGGGCTAGCCTCCAGTCATACTCATTCAGGTATATCTAGCATTACCAGGCAGCAAGAAGTTTTTAAAAATTATAATTCAGGACAGGGAGATTGTTGTCTTTAAAAAATCTCAATCATTCAATTTTGCCAGTAAAGACTCGGGAACCAGATACTGGGGTGAAAGCCTGCCAGCTCAGAGAGACAGAGAAAGCACCTGGCTAACCCCACCCAACCCCCGCCTCTGCCGCTCTGCTTCTACCTTGAGTGCATCTCTGTCTGTCCTCCTGACTCCTCCTTACTCTCTGATTTTGTTTTAATAATCCCATGTTCACCTCCTATCAACTGGTTGCTTGCTCCACCTCTTGACCTATGGTTGACTTTATTTAATCCTGTTGACAGCATTCAAGCAGAAAATTCTTGGATTAAAGGTGTGTGCTAGGACTGAGCCACACCACAACCAAAAACATGTTTTTCCAGTAAATAACGCAATCTTCACAGTGTGATCAAATACCACGCAACAGGAGATGGTTAGGGGAAAGGTGCCTGCCACCCAGCCTGATAACCTGAGTTGACCTGTGCAACCCACATGGTAGACAGGAGACAACCGTTGTCCTTTGCCTTTCACATGTGTGCCAGACACATATATGTGCATAATAAATAAATAAAATGTAGGGTGTTTGTTTTGGTTTTTCGAGACAGTGTTTCTCTGTGTAGCCCTGGCTGTCCTGGAACTCACTTTGTACATCAGAGATTTACAGAGTGCCTCTTCCTCCCAAGTGCCGGGATTAAAGGAATGAGCCACCACTGCCCCGGCAAATGTAGTTTTGTTTTTTGTTGGTTTTTTTTTTTTTTTTTAAAAAAAAAAAACTGTAGTTCAAATAAAGTCAAGGACCAGGGTCAGCCATGGAGGAATGTAAGGGCCATCGTGGAATCCAATCTGGAAAAAGTTCACGGGATCGGTGTGGGTGACGCTGGGTTTGCACACGCCATTGGGAAGCATCACCTCCAGTGTTAGCTACAATTCCGTCGTCAGTGAGACACACATCTGATAGGAGAGACTTAAGGGAAGATAAGGGATGAAAGGTTCCTGAGTGGACAGCCCATCATGCTGAGAAAAGCAAGGCGACTGGAGTGGGCTGGTCTTTGGTGGTGGGAGGAGCTTGCAAAAGGGGCGTCTCGCAGCAGAGCAGGAAGCACAGTGTTTGGGCGTTAAGTAGACTGTCTCTTCCCCAAAGCTTCATAGAAAAAGCCCCTTCTCCAACTCTTCCCCCTGGCTAAACACTCCAACCACCCAGCATCCCCCGCTGCTGCCTCCCCCTCCTCCCCTGCACTCCCCAAGGCCAGTTAGGGCAGCCTGATACTCAGGTGAGGGTCTCCTGACTCCCTCCCTCTATTAGAGTACAAACAGTTAACAAGGGCAGCTGGGACAGTCCTTTCTTAAGGGTGCACAGCTGAACTCCCCAAGGCGGTTCTGATGAGAAGGCTGGGGATGAGGTGGAGGATGGGCACTTACATGTCTTAGAGTCCAAGCACAACACGTGGGGATCAGTTCTCATGTTTCACCGTATGTGTCCTGGGGATTGAACTCAGGTTGTCAGGCTTGGCGGCAAGCATCTTTCTCTATCCAGCGACATCCCTCAGCCCCTGGGCTTTTCTTTATTGGAAGCGCATGAATGAATTCAGTGCTTTCACTTGCTGTGGCTCTTGACATTTTCTCTCCCCTTCTTTTTCTCTTCCTTCTCTCTGTCTCTTTGACACAGAGTCTCATGTAGCCCAGGCTGGACTTAAACTCAGTATATAGCCAAGATTGAACTTGTGACCCCCCACCTCCCCTTCCCTAGTGCTGAGATTACAGATGTGCCCCCACTATGCCAGGTTTGTTTCTGAATCCACCTTGGCAGCGTCTGCTGTTCTAGGGTGTTTCCATTTCATCTAGGTTACCCAGCTCTTTGACGCATCATTCACCATCCATGATTCTTGTATGCTTTTAATCCTTTGTTTGAGCTTTGATTTTGTCTTAGTCAATCAAGAGCTTTGTCAATTTGTCACTCTTTCACTTTTTGTTTTTGTTTTTTGTTTGCTTTTTTGTTTTGTTTTGTTTTGTTTTTTTGAGACAGGGTTTCTCTTTGTAATAGCCCTGGCTGTCCTGCAACTCACTTTGTAGACCAGGCTGGTCTTTGTAGACCAGGCTGGTCTCAAACTCACAGAGATCCACCTGCCTCTGCCTCCCAAGTGCTGGGATTAAAGGCAGGCGCCACCACCTGGGCTCTTTCACTTATTTTTTTTACTTCAACTTTTATTCCATTTTCTGTTTCAGCTGTGTGTGTGTGTGTGTGTGTGTGTGTGTGCATGTGCTC